GCGAAGCAGCACACAAGTAAAATTTATTCTATAGTAACTGTTATTGTCTGTTTGTATAATATACCATTTGTATTGTAACTATATTTTGTTACCCTTGGCTTTTACTCACAGACAGACACCTTGGCTTTTTTACTATTAACTTTTTTTGGTATATTATTATTATACTAGTATATCGATATACCGTTTATCAGCTCCTTCTGTTGGGGACCACCACAAGTGCTTCGAATTCCTGAGGTTTAAAATGCAATCTCTTCCAATACAATGTTCGTCACATCGTTATCTACCAATTGTGCACCAAACTCCTTCGATCACTCCTGAAAAAGGTCTGCTACTTGAAAACTAATCTGGATTAAGCACATTGTCTGTAACATTTGGTGTCACTCAAATGATGCAGGTGATTGACAAACTACGAAACATTACTCAATATATTTACCCAGAAAGGAAAAAGTGATCACATAACTTATAGATTTTATCTAGTAAAGTCCCCGAAAAGTAAACATAAGTTTCTATACAACTTCATGGAATAGGAGGCATACTCTACTTTGAATACCTGGGATTCGGACCCATTGATTATCCTTAGTCATCTTGTAATCTTTAACTTCAAAAATGCTGACTAGTAAGTTCAGTAAGAACTGAAGTATAAATGTTCTGTAATTTTTATAGTTAGATGATTAGATCTAATAGCATATACAGTAGTAATGAACAATCAATTGTAATGGAATCAAATAAACACAGCAGGGATAAAATTATAACAGAATTGGATTAACACCGAAATGAGGCCCTTTCGTAATTAGATTAGATTTTTATCACCACTGGCCCTAGGATCGCCAACAAACGTATCAAGGATTACATGGAACTGATCTAATATGCGTAGTATTGAAATAAATCCAAACTGTTCAGCGTTAATCAGTCAGCACATTCTAGGTATTTATACTTCAGCGTGATGATGAAATATGATTAACAGATAAGTACATAGACAGGCAGTCGAAAAATGTAGTGTTAGGAAGATTCGAACAAAAGGCACTTGAATTATTCAGAGAGCTCTACACAAATTAACCAGTAAAGTTCATTATATGCACTAGACGGTCATATACTTGCAGTGAACGAGAACTAAGGTGGGGACAATAAATTTTATGTTTAGTGCAAAATTACCGAGTTCTTTCTTGGAATTTGAAAACCATGCATTCAATACTTCATTTGCAAATCCTCTGTCAAATGTCTCGAGCGTCACCTTTCTTTCACTGCTAACACAATTTTTCTCTGTCATCGTTCTCCTCGATTCGAACTTCCTAACCTTACGCTACCAGATATTCCACTTCTGATTGCTGTTATATACCACTGATGTTGACAAAAATAAGTAGCATACATCACATAGTCAGATATCGTATTCCAAAATTGTTATGCAGTTGTATGAATTTAAAAGGTCTGTATTAATCACTATATGTAGACAGCTTCCATAATGTGTTTGGTAAGCTGGTGACCTATTGGTTAATTATAATGTCTCGTGCTTGACATTAATTGTATTGAGCTTTGCTGACAAATTTTTACTATACTCTAGTTATTGCTCGGCATATTAAGTAATTCATTCTTTTACTCTGTCAAGTAAACTGTATTGGTTGTTTTTTGCATACTGATGTTGTAAATTTATGTTAATTGTCCGGAATTTGACTAACCTAAGACTTAATGTTCGTATTTGTACGGTCTAATGATTCCTATTCACTTATTAGTGTGATGATTGTGAATTTCAAATATAATTAATTCATTTGTGCTCACCTTGTTCTATTTGATGTAAATTGCACTAAATGGGGAATTCCTTAGTTAGTACAATAATTCGAATATTCCTAATCGTCACAATGGCGTCGCGTTGGAGCCTGTGATTGAACTGTTGGATGTACAATGAAATCCTAAAGCTTGCGAGGATTATATAGAAAGGTTTGAAATATGGTGTGTGACCAGAGAAGTTGTTCAAGATAATAAAATCGAGGTTCATTTTCCTACATTCGTATGAAAGGATGCTTATAGCCTACTAAAAACTTTGGCATTCCTAAGTAAGCCTATTTCAATTCACGACGCAACTTTCAAAGAACTACTACCAAATCATGTAACATGTACTAATTTCGATTTCCATATGTAGCTGTGAGAGCGGTTGATTGCAGGGATTGACATACCAAATCTGGAAAGACAGATAATACAAATGTCAACGTTTTTATCCAACATGCTATAACTGTGTGTATTTACCATGAAACAGTGCATGAAATTGACCTCCAGGACATCAAGATTTCTATTGCGTTGCCCAGTTAATTTAATCCGATTACTGCGCAAGTTCATGCAAGCAGGCGCTTAACTAACGGTAACTTTCATTCTTGCAAAAACATGGATACAAATTGGTTGAGTAGAAAAACAGCTTACAGAGGTGAGCACAGGTTTGGTGAATGCTTATTTGTAAGAAATTTCACTTACGCAATTCATGTGTCTTTGGTCATGTTAAATGCTCCAGGTGTAGCAAAGTGGCAGGCATCCAGTCGGTTTGTGAAACTACTGTGCATTTTGTCGCAAGTAATACTAGACTTTGTATTTTGGATCCTATCGATTTCATAGTCATGTGCTATACTTATTGACAACTTTGAGTAATTCACTTCCTATCCAAAATGGTAATGTATGTCCAGTGTTGCTCTTCGCGAACTTATTGTTTACACTGACAATATCAAGTTTATCATTTCAGTCGGAAAGCCGAAGTCACTACATCGCAGTGCTGTGACTAAACCCAACAAAGTTTTTACTTCAGGTATTACTGGTCACAAGCTTCCTACGCTTAGGTGCTATAATTTGCTGATTAGAGGCAATAAACCTTCAGTCCTTTATTGAGAATTCCTTATCACTGATTGCATACAATCTATCCTGAGTCCAGAAAATTTAGGAATGCCTCAAGGCCGGCTCTCCTTCTTGATCACTGGAGACGGTTCTATTGAACTGCTTGGTAACACGCTAACTACGGGATCAAAGTGCGAAGAGTTACACACGATTTTAAAGCTCTCTCATTCTAATGTGCAAGCAAGAAATTTCATGAACTTGAAAATAAACAGCAATTACTGCTTCAAAATCAAATGACCCGTTGAGGAGAGTAGATAATATCTTTCAGTGCAAAGTTAACAGACCGCACGCAAAAATAAGAATGATGAAAATTGTTCAATCACAAAAATCTTTGTCAATGAACTGGTTTTCTACCATCTACGAAAGGTCTACCAGAGATAGTCCGTAAATCCAAGGCCCATGTCTAAGCCAGTCACAAAAATCGTATATAATACAAGGACTTAGGTGAGTCCGATCCAATTCCCATTTTACATTCTAATACTAATGAGTATATTCTAAATCATACAATGATTATACCCATTACACACACGGGCTATAAAGAAGACGTAAGACAGATTACAGAAATCTTGATTCCCATTGAAGCTGTAGCGGTTGTGGTATTTAAATAACTGATGATTTCTTTGTGCTTGATTGTCCGCTTGTTACGAATACAAGATATGATACGTTAATTTGTGCTTATTTAGTTCTACCTGCCTTAAATTGCACTATTTCGGAAATTCTTAGTTCATAAATTCGAATGTTTCTAACTATCGTAGTTTGATAGCCGGTTGATTAGTTTAGAATTACGTCCGTAGGAAATCGCTTCTTACACTTCTATCACTGAGAAAGGCCTATACATTGACTTTTGCAATTCTCTTAAAGTTCCCTGTTAGGACGGCTGGTAGCCAGACTCCGTAGTTCTCCGAACGGTTTTCAGTGTTTGCTTTAGACCTCATTTGAGAAGTCACTCGTTGATTCAGTTTCTGTGGTGGTATTGGTTCTCAGTCACACGATCCCTAGATCTAAATACGAGAATTGAGACGAGTTGCATTCAGCACTCAACACTCAGAGATAATCAGAGGCAGAAAACGCGGGGACCCTAAATTCCTCGATCACGAAGGTGTGGTCACTATGTAGCTTCTATCTTTTCATAGCAAATATATAATTCTGTCTTCAGCCGTAATGTGTTCCTCAGAAGTCAGAAACAGCATATTCCTGACTATTATGACGGGACAAGTCAGAATAGATTGATCTGACTTGAACATAGAATCTTATAGATTAGCCGTATCCTGGCAAATCTATACATTTGGGATTAAATCTACTGTATTAGTAGCAAGATAAATGCGATTGGCACTAACCTAGACAATAAACCTGACGTGATGAACATCTTGAAACTTCTGTTGGAACATATCCAATGAAGGGAAATTAAAAAGGTTCTATGACCAAAAAATATATCTTATCCGGTTGTCTTGGAATCTTTAAGCATGTAACCTGTGTGGTAAAAAGGACTGTGAGGGATACGATCACAATGAGTCATCTTGCGCATAGTTCTTCCAAACCTTAGAGAACACTGATACATTTTTTGACAAATCACACAAAAAAATAATATGCACTTAAGACAACAGGAAAGAGTTCATAAAAATTCCGTTTCGGAATTGCCACTTTTTGAATCAGTAAGTTATGATACTCAATATCACAAGTCAAAGCGATTTTGCGCTCGACTAAACCTATCAAAAGATCGCCTGGAAATCACTGTAGTCTAGTAATTTATGAGAAGGATTACTCTGTTGCTACTCAATCATTTCCATTATTAGCTAAATTGTTCCCCCTCCTGCTTATAAAACCAATATACACAGAATCATAACTCTTCCTAACCAGCAGATTCATTTGAAAACCCAGATGCAGATCCTAAGGAATAGTTGATTTTCTAATTCCATTATCAGAGTTGAAAGTTATATATGGTTACTTCAGCTGGGGTATATGTTTTCACTGCTAAATATTTGAACTTTTAAACCAGTTATAAAAAGTTGTGGTGAAATGTAAACACGGATTTTACTTTGATAGTGTGTATTGGGAAAAAAACGTAGCTGTTTGCACCAACTACTGAAATTTATATTTATGTGCACTTTTAAGCGCGCAGTTTGTGTGTGATGTTTTTACTGGCTTTATTAGTTTTCGTTAGATTTTTATCCTCATCGTCTTTAGGTAAGTTGGAATATAGGTATCGAACCGATTTTTTAATCAGACTTCAGTACTTCGTTATCAATCTTGGATGGCGACTCATGGATTTTTACAAGTTCAAAAACTATTTATCTTGGACGACCTTTAAAGCTGCGATGTTCAGCTACCAGTCCGGATAATATAACTATCAGCCGCAAGGAGTATGACAGAAATGTAACGACACAACTGGTAACTAAATTCGGGAGCGAAGTTCAGTGGGAAATCGGTGAAACTGGGTTCTCTGAATCTGGTGTTTATGAATGTATCTCTAGAGGGATCTCAAATATACTCACAGTGTATATATATTCAAGTACGCCCAATTTATTTTTGTTTTGGTCTTGGTATATCAAAATAGATTTATTGGAAAGCACAATCCAAATTTTTGACGCATTCGTCTTTCTTAGTTACTTAAGAACAGACGTATATATATATATATATATATCAGCTTTCCAAAATTTGAAGGACGAAGTGCAGATGATTTATTGTGGTGATCTATAAACTGACGTTGGATTTCAAGTCATTGGTTGCAGCGATATATTAACAATAGTCAACGAAGTAGCATTCATCGAAGTAGTTTTCAGTCCTCGAAGGTCAAGATAGGATATCAGGTGATTTTTAATGCTGTGAGGATCCAGTCTTTTTGTGAGTGCGCCGGTAAAATATACTCATAATAGTTGACATACTGGGGAATCTCAGTGTTTCGTGACTTCGTGCGAGAAATGAAACTTTGTATGTAAACAATCTGATCTTAAACTTTCAACCCTTTAAGGGTGTTCTCTAACACAATCTATCCCAAAAAGAAGACACGGCATATCAACACAAATATCTTCTGTTGTTTAACGGTATAATACTAACAAATCACCCCTTAACCTATGGTAAGATGGTGGGAATTAGTTGATGAGTCTCAGTCTGTTCTCTCAAAGCCAATCAGAAAAACTCTTCTTTGTTTTATCCCATTGCCGGTGAACCCAGTTCTTGCGTATCTCCCTCATATATAAACAAGAAACTATGCAATCGAATCCTATATTTTATCTGAGACCTCTTATACGTTAGATATACTATCTTGAACATATTTTCATGTGTGGCAAAATGCCTTACAAATTACCTGAAGAATTCAGAAGCCAGTAACGACAATTGCATTATGGTCGTTTAGCTTGACTTTTAAGATCCTATGATTTCGTTAGGACTCTGTTTGTTCACTCAAATGAGCTCACAAGTCTTCCTGTAGTAGGGTTTTATTAACTGTTGTAAGCATGTAACCTAATACTTTACTGTGGTTTATAACAATATGACGTATGACCTCTTTATTTTCATAAGGTCATTTACTCAAAGTGTAAGGAGAAATATGCTTAGGATTAACTCTCGAGAAACCCTAATCTTCAAGGCATCTTATGAGAATAGTGTGCCGTTTACTCTCACGCGTTACCTACTGTCACTGAAAAAGTCATTAATTCAATCTTTGAGTGTGCAACTCATACCAAAACGTCTCTGTAGGATCCATTCGAGGAACTTTATCATGGGTCTAATAAAATATCGTAATCTATTGCTGCAGTACGAAATTCTCTTAAAATACGATTGGTTAAACATGAATAATCTGCACCAAAAATTTTTTTCTCTTGACACAGAGTATGGTAACAATTTGACTAATCTTTTTGATTAACTTTGCTGCAATACTAGTAGAACTGACAGGGAGTTAGTCATTATCAAGTGTTTATTTATAATTTTATAAACTATATTAATTGTTTAATCATTTGAATCTCTCGGTAGCTTCAACGGACTCAGTGGCGTATCACATGACATAACCGGTGTTTTCTTAACTATATCTATCAGAGCTCCCATAATTTGGGGGTAGATATTATCAGGCTCACTAGACTTGTTTGGTTTGAGATGTTAAAGTAGTCTCTTTTCATATTTTTTCTTAGTAAGCGAAACATTCAACAACAGTTTTCTAATGGTTGGTGTTTTACTACCACCAATAGGAAACACTTTACGGAAACACTTTGACAGAAATTACGATTTTTCAATCTTCACTTACTATCACCAGTGAGTCTTCCTGAAGAAGTGGTGAAATTTTATGAGTCCTTTGATTTATTCTATTTAAGTAGGAAAACAACCTTCCGAGGCTGTTTTAGAAATCCTGGTCTAGTATATCTTCAGAAAATAATCTAGGATTTACTATCAGTGCTTTGTATGGGCTCCCAGTCTTGCTAAAACTGAATCAAAGCTTTTTAGAGCAAATGGAGATGAATAAGTTTCAGGTTTTATTTAACGTGTGGGAAGCTTTTATGTCATCCATTGCTTAACTTTGGAAGATCTACGTGTAGTGATGCTGTGGATTCAAATCTAAATTTGTACTGACTGCCTGTTGTAGGCAACGCTAGACCGTACAGTGGCGGTTTCATATCTATTTCTGACTTACCGCCACATTTAGTTGAAAGCTTCATGATTACTTTTTAATAAAAGGTTCTGAAAGTGTTTTCTACGCTTGACAAGTCGTTAGAATCGTCTATACATCCATGGGGTGTGATTCTATAACCTACTTGCGATTAGTTATGGTTTAAAGTGGTTCACAACATTTCCAAATGTGGCTTTGAAATTACCCCACACTTTCTAGATTGTCTGTTTTATAATAACCAAACACCGAACTGTCCGCACGCCAAGTATTTGAATATTGGAAGATAAAGTCATGTTTTTTTATTTATTTGTCAGTGCAATCATAATTCTCTTGCCTTCCGATTTCTCGATGAATCCATCGGTTGTGAAAGTATACACACACCTGAACAAGATTATTACACTTGTCAAATAATGTCTCCTTTCTTCAATTTTAGTTATTGGGACAAATGATGTCACTGTGCCAACAATAGAATATCTAGATAAAATAGGAACCTTTAACTTCACAAGAAGACAGCTGGATGATAATACATTTCTAGATATGGATCGCAATTGGATGTCATGTACATGTGTTGTTGGGAGTGTAAAGTTATTAGATATTGTCACTGTCACTTGGAAAGGAGGCCTTTTTGATGATTGGTCAGTTAACCATAGCCAAATAAACCAAGTTTATTCCCGGATAACAACAAGAGACCCATCAATTAGAGCCATTAGAGCCCGTCTTCGACTTAATTTGCCGCGTAAGTTCAAATTCACTTACAGAAAGGTCAGCATAAAAGCCTAAAAAATGCTTTGTCATATGGCAACTTATTAGTAGATATAGAGTAGTCATTATTTTACGTTATAGAACGTCTAGTCAGCAAATAAACTCCATTTGTGTTGATTTTGGTAATAATAATCAAATACAGTTCAAATGCGTTTGTTGTTTGGACTTTGATTTCAGTAAACAGATAATTTACTACTACGACAGGGAACACAGGTAGTTAGGTTTTCTATTTAACCTTACGTTTTTTAAAACATGACAATAGGGAGCAGTATTTTACGAATCGTTAGAAGATAAGAGCGTAGACTGTATTGCTTTGGAAACAATCTTTGACCCACTTCGAGTCATAAACGACATATTTTCGTTACATAGTTGTATTTGGGCACACAATTTGTCCACACCAATACTTTGTCTGATTATACTTTACACATCGATTCAACAGGGGTCAGTCGACATATGAAACTTACTGTAAGTTAATTGGTAGGCAGTTTTGAGGATTTATGCAGCATTAGTTACAAACTAAGAATGTATTATTGGTTCACGATCGGGTTTTATAATTATTAGAGTGGTAGAAAAAGTTCACTTATCAACTTTAGTATAATATAAACATTAAAGAGTTGATGCTTTTGCGGCCTCTCAATCATACACCTTAAATCATGATTCACGGATTTAACTGAAGAACTTTACATAAATACCAGTTATCGAAAATTATCTGAATTTCCTCACAAATAGTGCAGAGAAGATCTAAGTGGATTCAACGGCAGCTCACTCTGACAGGACACATAAACTTATTCATTATGTATTTATACAGGCTGTATTAATTCGAAAACGAACCATTATGATCTCATTGCATGATATTTTACACTAGATAAATCATCAGTCAACTAAATATTACCTCTCATAGGTCATCTATGAAAGTTTACTTTGATTTAAGTTAGTTGGTGGGGAACTGTGAACTTAGTTTTTGCTCTGATCGGCACTAGTCACCAAGGCATATTTGCGATCTTGTAGTAATTGATGCTTTCTGGAGGTTTCTAATCCGGATCACTCAACTTCACAGTTCAAAAAGTAACCAATGAGCAATTCAGACTACAGCTAACTTGTGTGAGTGAGGTATTTATAAAGTTGTTTACTCAGGTGTTTATCAAACTACCTGCAGTTGCATATATATTTATATACCTTCAGTAACCTTAAGCTAAATCAGCTTTATATTCAAGGAGCTTTAGAGTACCATCACTTTGGTGAAATACATATTGTTTCTCAATTTAGTTAAACTGAGAAAAATTAATTTTTTGATTGATGAAAGTTTAAATCCTTACTTAGTACTGGTTAAAATGATAATAATAACTAGTTTATCTTTGGAAGCTGATAGTAATAATATTTCAAAAGTGCACTTCTTTGAAGATCAACAATATTTTTAAAATGTTTTTATTTATCAACATTTCAGTCCTTGATCGACGAATATTTGGTCAGTATCAGTGTTTATTTAGTTTTTCAAAGTCAGAATATGCTGTAGCAACAGTTCATTTAAATGGTAATCATCATTGCATTAAGTTGATCACCATGTAAATATATTCTTTTTCTTCAGATATAATTACATTTATTACATTTATTAAGTAAATATGTGTGAAATTTTCATACAATATCTGCGAATAGTTGTTTAAATCATTTATTTTTATATGATTAACTGAATATTCAGTTTCATTATATGTAAAAAAAGGAAAACATAACAGCTTAACTGAATGTTTTTACAAATCCCTCATACTAACAATATTTTTTGGAGATAATTCTGAAATTTTTATTAAAAAGACTATAATGAGTGCTTGTTAAGCAAAAATAGATAGTGACTAACAGTAGAATTCAGGATGCGCATGTCGTCCTATTTGGGACACGTCACCTGGACGTACCTGCATCCGAGTTGATTTTCACTCTGGGACTCGAACCCAGGACCGTTCGCTTCAAACTCCATCGCGTTATCCAGTTAGCTAGTGAGTCCTGGTAGCCACCTGCTTGTGCAATGGGGTGAAGTTTAAATTCACTTGATGTTGTTTTACTTGTATCTTCCGATTGTTATTTAGGATTGCAATTGATAACAATAGAAAGATACAAATAAAACAACACCAAGTGAATGTAATGAGTGCTGTTCAAATGTATCTGATATTAGGGAGTTACCCTCCAATAATATTAGGAGATGATTAATTAATATTGAAAATTAGTTGAAGATTTAGGTGTATATAAATTCCTTAGGATTCAGCGGTTTAAAGACTAAGCTCTCACAGTGAGATCCGAATGTCATAGATTCGATCTCCAGCAGAGTCATGAGTGAGGATTTCTGAAGAATTCCTACACCAGGGTGGTTGTCAATGATTATTCACCTAAGATCAGTCTCTGATAAAACAATCTTCTCAAATTCCCCTTGATAAAAATGATTTTCGTCTCATCCTGAATGATTTGAAATAATATAGTTGAACTTCCGATGCATTATTACTTGAAATAACACATAGTCCAGTCTCGGTATTTTTCATAATATATCAAAGAATATTTCTGAATCTCCGTTCAAGAGTCTATCTCTAGTATCATTGAAATGAAAACAAAAATGGGGATACCCTTTATTCTCAATTATTGAAATTTTTTACTAGCGATCGGTTTACTATTCGATAACATTATTAGACCAAAATAGACGTATTGGCCTTGTGCTCTAGTTATCAGCACTAAATATAATCTGTGGACAATGTTGAATAATATTTTGATTGTGAACAGTGATAGTAAATTTATTGGAACTAAGTAGGAGTGAAGCTGTTAAATTGAATCTATCTGGGACTCTTCATAACCACATTTAAAAATTTAAAGCAATTGGTCCCTATGATAAATTTCGATGGTGTAATAAGAAAACGAAAATTATCAGAACTATGTGATGACATATTAGCGCTATATATTACGAACAATCTGATCACATATATACTTGTTAAGAACACTTATATATAAAAATAAACGGTCAACTAGAATAGAAATGGAGGGGAGGAGGAGACAAAGATAATAATAAGAGTAATAATAATAATGTGAACATAATTTGAAACCTAATCACTCTGGATAATAAGTCAATATTATCCCCCTTGTGTATTCAAAAACAGTTAATTCTCACCTTAAACCTACCCTGGTAATATTAACTTATTATCCAGAGTGATGAGGTTTCAAATTGTTTTCACATTACTTCTTTATTATCTTTATTATTACTTCTTATTATCTCCTCTTATCCTCCATTTCTAGTCTAGTTGACCGTTTATTTTTATATATAAATGTTCTTAACATGTATATGTGTGATCAGATTGTTCGTAATGTATTGCGCTAATATACATCATCACATAATTTTGATAATCTTCATTTTCTTATTACACTATCGAAACATTTAAAAATATTGCCACTGAATATTGGTATTTACAACAGTTTTATGTCTAAGTTACTTAAAGAGAATTAGTGGTTACCTCTAAGTGGTAGAACGATAACTTTTAAGTTTAAAATATAAATTGCTAATGAAAATTAAAGAATTATGAACTTGAATTCATAGTATTGGTGTGTCACAGTTACACTGTATTCATTAACTGACACGGTTATAAACTAAGATGGAACTCTTCCTTTAAACTTACATATATATAGAATTTGATTTAATATGAGATACTTTTATTATGCACTGCCAATGTTCAGTTCACGTTTGATGGGGAATATTTTCGACAAGTTGATGGTGTATCTATGGGTAGCTCTTTGGGGCCTCTCTTAGCCGATGTATTTATGTCATATGTGGAAAATATGACAAGTGAGCTTATTAGCGAGGCAACTTTATATAGAAGATATATGGATGATATACTAATTATATGTGAAAAAGCTTATGAAGTCTCTCGGTTACTAGATAAAATCAATGGGGTTCAAAACGATATCGTGTTGACTTAAGAAGCAGAAAATAACGGCCAGTTGGCCTTTTTAAACATAATTTTAAGTCGAAGGGATGATGGTACTATTAGACGGTCGGTGTATAGGAAACCAACTTGGACGACACAATACTTAAATTTCCACAGTTTCTGTCCGTTGTAATACAATGAGGCTTGATCAGTTGTCTCTTTAAGAGGACTTTGAGAATTTGCACTGCTGAAACGGTTGGAAAAGATGAAAAGTTACTGTGACACATTAACAGTAAATGGTTACCCACTAAAGTTTATTAATAGGTGCAAAAGTCAGTTAATGCCAAGACCTCTTGTTTATTCAATATGAGATACGCTTATTGATGATATTTTTATTAGAAGAACCATAATTCATAAATAATAATTTGGCAGTAGCCAAATGGTTTCACTCTTTTCTCCTCTTACGATAAACAACTCTTCCATGTATTTTCACTATATTCGATACTACTAATTGTTGTTTTTTAACTTTTTTTCAATCTTAGTACCTCCCATTTTACGTCTGATTTATGATCCCCCACCGTTACCTCCGTCTAATTCATCTGGTCGTTATACGTGTGTGAGTAGTCCATGTCAATTATCAGTTAATGAAAATAATTCAAATTGGACAAATGCTTGTGAAATTGTTGTAGCTTATCCACTAGTAAAACCTAAAAATTTTGCTTGGGCATGGACACAACCACAATGGGCAGGTTACATTATAAGACGGGTGCAAGAAGTGGGCAAAGCAAATGTACTTTCTGAGTTTTCAGTGTTATTAAACGATGGTGAAACAGATGGATATGGACCATGGCAAGTATTAGAGCGTAGGCGTAGATTAACTACTATTAATAATGAAGTGAAGAATTCTGATCTAACTAAATCTGGCCCCATTCTGTTTTGGTGTTGGGCTAAAAATGACATTGGAGAGACAACAACATGGTGGCCTGGTCCTGTTGAAAATTATGGATATTCAAGTAAGTATTCAGAAGAATGACGTAAATTATATTCTATGTAATAAGTAATTTGTATTAATTAATAATTATCTGATGGGTTTTGTGGATATTATGGTAATTTCAATGGTTAAGATCATGAGTCAGTTGAAGCTAGACCACGATGGGAAACCTGGAGGCACTGGACGGCCGTTTAGTCCTATTGTGGCACTCCTCAGCGGTGCGCATCCACGACCCCAACCCCTGTGAGATTCGAACACAGGACCTACTGATTTTGCGCGCGAGCACTTAACCACTAGACCACTGAGTCGGCATCCAACGGTGTTAATGTCTAACTTCAACTAATCCACGAAATTGAGTGACACATCCACCATTGTCTTCAGTGAGTTACTATCTCACAACAGACCTGGTTGAACTTCATTGGTCACTACTTCTCACTAGAACTCCATGATATACCTCTTGAAGCCAGTCACTAGTGAGCATATATTGATTAATATCAGATGGGTTTTGTGGATATTATAGTAATTTCGATGGTTAAGACCATGAGTCAGTTGTGAGATAGTAACTCACTGAAGACAATGGTGGATGTGTCACTCAATTTCGTGGATTAGTTGAAGTTAGACATTAACACCGTTGGATGCCGACTCAGTGGTCTAGTGGTTAAGTGCTCGCGCGCAAAATCAGTAGGTCCTGTGTTCGAATCTCACAGGGGTTGGGGTCGTGGATGCGCACCGCTGAGGAGTGCCACAATAGGACTAAACGGCCGTCCAGTGCCTCCAGGTTTCCCATCGTGGTCTAGCTTCAACTGACTCATGATCTTAACCATTGAAATTACTATAATTATCATTTAAACAAACTATTCTCATAGATCTAATAAAAACTAATAACAGTTTAATAATTAAACATTCCTAATATACATATATTCATAGTACGCTGGATTTGATACTTAACAAAGATAATTTTAGTCACTTCTATGTACCTCTCTAAAATTAAAGCATGATTAGAAAAGAAACTGTTTCTTCCTCATAGCATAATAATCCTGTTTACATCATAACTGTGAGGAAAAAAAGCTGTTCTCATGTAGATTTAGACAACTATCCAACATTGTTCATCTTAAGAATTCTAACATTTATCTTAAATTCTCTCAATAAGCAGCATTTTAATCAAATCGGTGTGAAGGAATGCAATAGCTAACATGTACTAAACCTTATTTGCTAATAAAAATTTATAAGTAAGGGTATTTATAGATGAGAATTCAATCTGTATCCAATAAATAATGGTTATGTATATGAAATTGACTTCCTCATCTGGGCTTTTTCAATGCTAGTTTATAAATTTTCACTATGTTTAACGTTACGTTCAAGATGGTTTCAGAGCATTTTTTTAAGCGTTATATTCACAAATTACGATGTAATTTCATAAATTACTCATTACGAAAATAGGAAAAGTTATTTTTCCTTTAGACTAGATTGGGTTTAAAATTTTCTGCACTAAGTTTAATGTGTAATTCCTGAGTAGTTTGTCAAAATAGAAAACTGCCGCGTTGTATATCACAATAAATTTATACTACATCGGTCAACCATAGAATTATTACCTTGGTATCTCTAGACCTAGTTGTGTAGCTACTATGCTGGAGTATTGATAGTTGTATATCATTTATCGATACAGTAGTCAATTACAACATTTGATACCAAGTAAAACTGAAGCCTGGTGAGCGATAAGTTTTCTAGTTTAGATAACATTAGAATGAACCGATTTTTGAAACACACTACTGGAGGGAGTTGATCAGAAGGACAAATGTAGATATATCTATGATTTGTTTATATTTGAATTCTGCTTGGAAATTAGTTTCTCCTACTCTTTTCAGTCATCTCGTTTCTACACTGGGCTAGGTATATCATAGGAATTGTTTATCGTAACTGAGTCAGAACGTAGGACACAGCAGTTACATTGACAGTACTGTTTCAAAGCTTATATTTCTACCAATTTCCCAAATTAAATAATCATCTTTGTATAAAAAGAATTGGCTTACCAATCACGGCGGCTTTCTTAGATAGCCTAAAATAATTTGGTTAGAAAATGCATTTTTGCAAAAGCCGTAGATAGTATTACTTATCACTGGTAAGCACTAATTGGTAGTAAAGAAATTGATTGCGAATATATTAGATTGGTATTAACGTATATACGCCTAATCAAACGAGTGACTGTATTCATATGAACTAAATAAGCATTTACATGGGGATAAGAGTGAGTATTGATCAGGCACTTTTAGTTTCCGTTATATGAGATTACGTTCGATTCAAAACCTAAGTGGTTTAGACTACTTAACTAAGCGATCTGAATCTTAATACTGACAATAATGGAATTCAGTAAAAGCAAACAAGCAGGGAGATTATTATTGATTGCCCTTAATCCGAAAATATGACTTTTTCCATAATTGTATAATCATAATACAGCAGATGATATTGAGTAAAGTTGTTCATCTTCCCCAAATGCCCTGGTACTGTCGAAGGTAAGGATAGTCCGCTTTTCTTCTCGAAATGCTCTCATGTGGCCACGCGTATATAGTTACTGTCAGGAATTTCTACTCATTTCCCTCTCGTGAAGTGTTATTTACGAAATCGAGAGGATATAAAGCGAATGTCCGGCGCTTAAACAGGGTTAGTGGGTACCGGAAATCTACTTGAAGGATTTGGGGAGCTCAACCAACAGTCCACAAGAGCTCCAGGATCCTGATGGAACAAACGGTGCATGAACTTGTTCTTGTTCGCAAGTTATCATCGGACCATACTTCCTAGCGTTACTCCACTACTTTGTGGATCAGATCTGTTGGCCGAAGGTCAGGGAAGTGGCTCCCTAAGAAAACCACCTCTTTCAATTTGGGAACGCGAACGGTATCCGAGCCCACACACAACTTGAATGTTAACAACTTTGTGTGGCGCATATATATTTTGTTACCTATTTACCGATGTTTATGTTCTTAAATATAAATAAAATTTTGCTATCTTTCAACCGTTTAGTGGATGATATAATTAGTGTTTGAAACAAAAAGTAAGAGGTCCAAGTCCCAGTGTGAATATCAACATGAATATATATATATATATATATATATATATATATATATATATATATATATATGATTTTGAGTTTTCCGACAGTCAATATTAAGGATAGAATTTGATCAGTCTCTATTGGCGCATAAGCATTATGAGCTGATGATATCGATAATGCCGTTTAATATAAATTTTAATAAAACTGGACGGTAATGAGCAGTAGAATCCAAAACATGTGTTTCGTCCTATTTGAAATTCGTCAACTAAATGTGTCTGGACTCTTGCTGATATTCACACTGGGACCTAAACCTACCTCATTCCATTCCTGTTTATACATATATATAAAAGCAGTGAAAATTAGGAAGACTAATCTTTAAGAACATCATTCAAATAAATAAAGTGAAAGGGTAATTCAGAATGTATACTGGTTCTATAGATCAAAAGGGAAGATAAAGAGTAAGTTCGTCGGCATCATTATAACCAATTATTAGCCACTTATCACCGAAACTGTTCAACCACTAATCGCATTTATCACGCGTACCCTAACCATATAGTTCACACCCACCAACATGTCATATCTTGTTTTGATTGTCCCTAGCTTCCATTCAACTTCTGTCACCATCAGTGGTGAAGTGTAGCCGTCTTCTAAAACAGTAAGTAAGGAGTTGTGGGGATTATTTAATTTCGTTGAAATCATGAACCGATAAGTCAAATCACCAATGGAAACTTGGAAGCACCGAAAGGCTGTTTCGTCTTATTACGGGATTCTCCAGCAGCGCCTAGTGACTGAGAATTTCTTTCTAACAAATTTTTGTTATTCGATAATAATTGACATAACTTATTATTTCCTTTAGTCGATGATAATCAGTATTATTCAAAATTATTTTATTTTTAACAGTTTGGTCATCTGTTTGGTGGCCTTTACTTGGTGTTTCCCTTGAATTATTAAGTTTAGTCATAGTGTTTGCATTTTTCCGTTATTGTCGTCGACAAAGAATTCGTTATGGACTAAATAACGATACAACAGAGACTGTAGCTTCATTTGGTCGTTCACGTCTACTAGACATAGATGTAGATGGTGACCAAGTTGAGATGATGAAAGTAATTAATCCTGCATCTATAACCACATCAACAACATCATCCAATTCATCATATAATTTGCATACTCGTGGACCGATACCTTATATACGTTTATGTAACCAAAAAATTAATCATATAAAGGATAAACATACCGCTAATACTACTACTAGTACTGCTACTACGGATAATCTTGGCAATGATAACAATAATAATCATTATTTAACAAAAGCCAACATAAATAATCAAGTGACCGGTGGTTATTCAAATTCTATAATTCAAGATTCAATAGATGCTGAAGTTGATGCTATGGTGATCAATGTACAAAAATTATCAAATGAACGTGACTTAAATGCTGATGATGATTATTTTTGGGATTCTGATACTGGAAATAACGATGAAGATAAACGAATTAAAATAAGGAGTAATCATCAAACAATTGCTTAATGTTATAAATATATACTGTACGTGGAAGAAAAAGTAAGCTCCATTTAATTTTACTGATATTATGTCTTTATAATAAAATTGATGGATTATTACTAAGAGTGGATCTAAGATGTATGCTTTATTCTATATGGGACGTATCAGTCTGACGTGCCTGCATTCTAGTGTCCATGTTGAGACTTGAACTCAGTACCTTTCAATTTAAAACGTGTAATCAAATGATTATATCGAGTCAATCCGAAAAGAATGCAGATATCCCAACAAAAACTGATCAAAATTTGATCTTCATTATGAACGATGGGATAATTCAAATCCTTACTATTAATAATATGAATTTTATTAAAATACTTTGACCGATTAATTTGGTTAAATAATTCATTTTCATTTCAACAGTTGAGATCATGAGTCAGTTGGAACTAGACCACCATGGAAAACCTGGAAGCAGTGGGCGGCCGTTTCGTCCTATTGTGGGGCTCCTCATTAATGCTCATCCACGATCTTACCTCGTGAGATTCGAACAGTGCTTCCAGGTTTTCCATGTTGGTCTAGCTTTAATTGGCTCATGATCTCAGCTATTGAAATTACTGTAATGTCCACTAAAATCTCCTTCTGATACTAATTCATTTTCACTTGAAATAATACGTTTATAATCCGAATAGTATACAGTAATTAGAGGAAGTTCAATGTTAATAATTAGATCAAATGAATATATAATGTTTCATGTCATATAAGAGTTTTCATCGTTTGCCACAATAATTAAATAAGATTCACTTACTTACCTACTTAGACCTGTTACTCCTCGTGGAGGAACATAGGTTGCCCATCAGCACTCTTCATCCAACTCCGTCCTGGGCAATCATTTCCAGATCTTTCTAGTCGTTATTCATCCTTTTCATATCTGCTTCCGATTCTCGATGCAGTGTGTTATTTCGCCTCCCAGCTATTAGATGGATGATTGTCGTGCTGTATTCTTAAATTAAGGGAGAACTAAACTCTAACTGTATAACCAAAAGGTAAGGTATTAGCCTCAAAAATTGATGATACTGTATTTAGTCTCTGGTATGGCCATGAGAAATCAATACTTCGGAATCTTATACTAGGCAAAAAGCAATTGTATACTCTTAAGTAACCGAGCCAATTTGGGAGAAATTCTCTCTATAATTCAATGTAATCTTCAAAAGTTCTTCAGTTGATTACTTTTACCCGATAACTATTTGTTGAGCAGAAGTTCGATAAAGCATGGAACTAGTTAGAGTTTTATTGATCTACTGGAATTGAAATATGATTTGTAAAACATAATTCTTATATATTTGAATTCTAAGATTCAATCAATTGAGAGTGATTTGTGTAATAATTTTATTTTATAGGATTTGGCCTTCCTCTTTTCCGTTTCCTTTCGGGATTCAAAGTCAGGGCTTGCCTCCTGATGCAGTTTGATGATTTCCTCAGTGTGTCCTATCCATTCTCATCGTTATTCCCTAATTTCCTGTTAAGCTGGAAGCTGGTTTGTCCTCTCCCATAGTAGACCGAGAGACACTGAGTATCTTGAGTAGACAACTATTTATAAATACTTATACCTTCTTGATGATGGTTGTAGTAGTTCACCAAGTTTCAACTCCGTACAGTAGAACTGTCTTGACGTTCATGTTGAAGATTCAGACTTTGATATTGGTTGATAGTTGTTTTGAGTTCCATATGTTCTTCAATTGTAGGAATGCGGTCCTTGATTCGTCAATCCTCGCCTTCACGTCTGCATCAGATCCTCCTTGTTTATCAATGATACTTCCCGGGTTTAAATTAATTTATGCTTCCATTGATAAAAGTAATCAATTGATAGTTGACACAAACTGATTTAAAGAATGTCATTAGAAAAAAATATTATGAATATTTGTAAATAATCTAAATTTAATCTTTAAGAAATAAAATTTCATTCCATATCATTGTATATATTGGTTGTTTTAATTTCAATTCTTTTGTTTTTGGACTAATCTATAGAATTTACTCAACATGAAATTACAGATTTAGATCAAGCTTAAATTTTGGGAATATTTATTGATTTATTTGTTGTTGTTGATAAGGTTCAATAAGTTGTTTAGTCTTCAAGTTTAAACTTATTTCTCTATACGAAATTCATTGTATGTAGTAGCTGATAGTTATTTATTTCATAGTTAATACCATTGTAACCATTGTAACTCTGAATGTATTGAACAAATGTTTCGTTCTGTTATAAGATTCTTGAACAGTAAGCATTCGGAAAATGCCCACTGGTGACTAACTTCGAGAAGTAATTCCAAAGTTCTAATGAAAAATGGAGTTCAACTGTGTCCAAGTACATTGGCAGATAGTTGCGCAACATTATAAATTGATGGAAGTTAAATATATAAACCATAGGATGCCAACTCAGTAATCGAATGGTTAAGCGTTCAGGCGTGAAAGCAAAGATCTTAAGTTTTACTCTTAATGCTAAGATTGTCGATGGTCACCGTTAAGTAGTCCCACACTGTGGAAAACACCTGTTCATTATAAAATCGAAACACTTCCACATATCTTCTAGAATGATTATAAGTATTCGTTAGCCTATAAATCTTTTCATTTTATTTATTATTTCCATGTAATTAGCTCTTTTTTTTTCTTTACAATCCTTTTATATTTTTACTTTTTGAATTCATTAACCATTAGAATTCAGTGGTCATTTGGAATGAAAAACAAACAAACAAACCTAATCTAACAAAAGTATGATTTATAATTCTAAAATGTCTACAACTGCATATCATGATCATGAACCTATCAAATTATAGTTTCAATTGAAGAATTACATCTCTTTAACTCTATTTATATCTTAATGGAATGTTATCTGTCCATTGAAATACATTACGTTTTCATTCAAATATTAATAAAATATGTGTATCATAGTAATAATAAAATTATAAGGAAATATGAATATATATATATATGCATATATAACAGATTAATATTGGTGGGATTCGATCCGAAAATGAGGTTAGTTCAATTATGGTTCTAAAAAATAAATAAACAAACAATTATTGTTTATTATTATTATTATTATTATTATTATTGTTTCATTCATTCATTATTGACAACGTTTAATCACTATGATTATTGCATTTATTTAAATGGATTAATGATTGTTTATCTGTATATTTAAACTTATTTCATCTTTTAATCATTTCATTATAATTGTGCAATAAATAGAGAGTGAGAGAGAGAGTAATGTCTTAAATATTTCATTCCTTAGAAAAATACACTTGAAGGCTTATGTTGTACATTATTATTATTATTATTATTATTATTATTATATTATTATTATTATTTTATATAGAATTATGTTTTTTATATTTACAAGTCATCTTGATGTTATTCATTCAATTGAATAAACTCTAATTTACAGTTGTCAACTATGAAACTCCTTTGCATATTTTATTGTGATATTTAACATGACTATAATTATTTATTGTTATTATTACTAATTGTTTACCTGACCTAATCATATCTCTTAACAATGATGTTGCTATCTCTTTGATTCTTATTGTCAATTAACTATTTATTGGTGTCTCTTTTTTTGTTGTTTTCTTTCAGTTCTCAAAGTTTTAGCAAATTTTTACATTTTCAACTGGATTTCAATAATACAAGTTTCATATGTATGTATATTTGTTTGTGTGTGTGTGTGTGTGCGTCTGCATTTACTTTCTTTTCTGTTCAGATTATGCTATGAATGTCAATAAAACCATTGAAAGTGAATTCGTTTTTGAAAAGTCCTAATTTTAAATTAATGCCTTCTTACATAGTAATTGCCCCCAAATGCCCTGGTATGGCCGAGAGTGAGATGGGCCAGCCCTCTTTCTCGAAATGCTCTCACATAGTCACGCGTATACAGCCTCTGCCAGGGAAATCCTACTCACTGCCTTCTCGTGGCGGAGGTGTTGTTTATGAAATTGAGAAGACGAAAAGCGAATGTCCGGCTCTTTAACCAGATTCCAAACCAATGGTGCACATGGGCTCCAGTATCCTGCGGGAAAAAATGGCGTATGAACCAATCGTTGGTTACCGGCTACCATGGGACTGCATCTCCTTACGATGTTCCACTGCCTTGTGGGTCAGACCTTTAGGCCTAAGGCTCGGCGTGTGGCTTCCTAAGATAACCACCTGCTTCGGTCTGAGCAGCCGGGCAGTATCTCAGCTATCACACAAATCGAATGATTTATGTGGCGCATATCTATTTGGTGCCTCCTTGTACCAATGTTTATGTGTTCAAATAAAATAAGTAATAAAAAACAGTAATTATTAGTATATACTTATGATATTAACTGATTTCTTGATGAATTATTTATACAGGATAAAGTAAGCGAAATATTTATTTACTTGGGTAAAATACTACTATTTTGTTTATTTAAAGGATTAAATTTATTCCAAAAAAGAAATCGGTAGCAAATGCTAATGTCTGTTTAAATTAAAGAAAGAACATATTTAACAATGAATCAAGCTTTCAATAACAACCATAATTGACACGGTTTGATTCTACTGGTTACGGCTTTTGACTAGAACTCTGAATCCAGTCACTAGTGAGCTCATGATAATTATCAGTATTTGGGTTGTTGATATTGTTGAATTTCACTGAAATCAAAAACTTATCTAAGTTAAAACACCATCGATAACTTATAAACACTTTTGAAGCTATATATTAACACCATTGGATACAGGCTCAGCGATAAATAGAATTAGGTAGTAGCTATCTAGGTAGATTAGAATTTAAGAACCAAATAACTGAAGACTGAATAAAGCTCACTTTTTAATGAATAGGTGGATTCACATATTATCAACCATTTCATTTTTTTCAACATTCAGTAATAGGGATACTGTTTGTTTTCTACATAGACTGAACGAGTCCAAACTGTGGCCACTTACCATCTTAAAATCAAGTGGCTGGCTGAGGCCGATCATACGCTTAGTCAAAATGGCAAATATATGTACACCCACGATTTGTG